TATTCTTAATTTTTTTTAATTAAATAAAAATATGGGTAATAAAACAATATTGTTTTATATTTATAATTATGTGAGTTCTAAAGTATAGATTAAATACTATATTCATAGTAATATTCAAAATTAAATAATCAATAAAACTATATCAGTCCTATAAATAAAACACATTATTTGCGTGTTCTATTATTGTGATTATTTTAAATAAAATATATTATTAGTTTATTACTTATATTATTTTGTAAGTTAACTTATTGTGATCATTATAAGTTAAAATACATTATTGATTTATCACATATGTTTTCATTTGATTAAATATATTGAATAATGTAAATTTATATCCTATATTTAAATTTATTTTATTTATTAATTTTCAAGATTAATAAGATATTTGAGAAAATTCTACGATTATGATCATTTAAAATAAATGATTTTAATCTTATAGTATTCTAATAATTATAGCAAATAGAAAATATTATGAAAATGATTCTCTATTTATAGAATTTTTATATATTAAGTATAATAGACAAAAATTCACTAAATTGGTCTTTATATAAAATTAATAAATCTTAAATATTAATTAAAAATTAAAAAAAAAAACATGAACGGGAAGACTTCCAAAAAGTCTTCCGGTGAACAAACGAAAAAAATATAAACCGAAAGACTTGCAAAGACTTTCCGGTGAACAAACGAAAAAAAATGTGAACCGGATGACTTTTTGGAAGTTTTCCGGTGAACAAATGAAAAAAATATGAACCGGAAGACTTGCAAAAAGTCTTCCGGTGAACAAATGAAAAAAAATTATAAATTTTTATACGAGGATATTTTGGTCCAAAAATTTTTAGTGTAGGGGTATGGGTATAATTGTAGGAGTATGAGGTAAAATTTTCGGCTGAGGATAGAGACCTCTCATTAGGCTTTACTGAATGGTCCAACTCATCACGGTCCATTTAGGCACACAACCCAATTAAACAATTCATCTATGTAGTGTTTAATAATAATAGACCATAATATAATTAATTAATAATTAATTATGTCAATCCATATTTGATTAATTAAATCATTAATCTAACACGTTTATGATCACATCCTTGCTGATCACTACTTGCATGTTCACTGGGTTAAACAACTTGTATCCTCCAGTCGAATGATATTCTATTAGAATCATTTGACTCGACTTGTCATCAAGTTTTCTTCTCAACTGATCTGACACATGTCTATGTGCTATAGATCCAAATACCTTCAGATGAATCAAGTTAGGCTTGACACCAGACCAACATTCTTCTGGCGTAAATCCTTCTAGCCTTTTCGTCGGACATTTGTTCAAGATGTATGTTACAGTCGACACAACTTCTCCCCATAATTCTTTGGGTAGATACTTTCCTTTCAACATACTTCTCACCATATTCATGATGGTTCTATTCTTCCTTTCTACTGTCCCATTTTGCTGTGGAATGTAGGGTGACACCACCTCATGCACAATCCCTTCTTTCTTACATAATGTGTCGAAGTCTTTTGACACATACTTTCCACCACCATCAGTCCTCAGAATCTTAAGCGTTAGACCATTTTGTCTTTCTACCATAGATTTAAATTGGCAAATACCTCAATCACTTCACTTTTCTCATTGATTAGGTAAGTCCACCGTTTTTGTCTGAAATCATCTATGAGTGCGACAAAGTATTTGTTACCTCCAATTGAATCCACCTGGATAGGTCCACACATATTAGAGTATATGACTTCAAGAACTGCCTTCATCATGCTTCTTACATCCTTGCTGAAGCTATTCTTGTGCTGCTTTGCATGCACAAATTTTTCACACTTCTTTTGAAATGTCGATTATGATAACCCTGAAACTATATTTTTTTCTCTTTAGATCTCTGATGTCTTTGAAGTTGAGATGATCAAATCAGTAGTGTCATATCCATTCATTCCTTCTAGTTGCAGTTGTAAGGCACTTGCGTTCCATCACATTTAGTTCAATCCCAAAGCTTCTATTTTGAGACACATGAGCCTTCAAGATTAACCTTCCTCCTAAGTCGATAACTCTCATCATCTTATCTTCGATCGACACTTTGTAGTTCTTTTTGACCAAATTCCCTATGATGAGCAAATTACTTTTTATGTCTTATATGTACAATACATTGGAAATTATTGACCTCTTTCCATCTTTCCTCATAATCAGAACATCACCAATACCTTTACCTGCTAGAGTATTGTCATTTAAAAATTACACCATATTCTTCATTGAGGGTTTTATGTTGACAAACCAATATTTCCTACCAGTCATGTGTGATGAGCATCCTGAGTCCAAGTACCACTGGTCTTGGAGTCTTTCTTCATCTCTTGTTCTGACCATCAACAACATCTATTATTCTTCATGCTTTGCAAACTTTGCATCATTGTCTTGGTTCTTTTGTTTTTCAGGACAATCACTAGAGTATACTTTTGACAAGGGAAACACTAAGTATGAATTTTGTCAGCTTTTCGACCACCACCTCTTCCTCTACCCGCTACACCACCTCTTTGGTTGATTTGGTATGATGACTTTCTTTCATTCAACCAGCCTCCTTCTTGCTGACTTCGACCAGTCAAATCGTTGTAGTTTTTTCTATCTTTGTTGTCAAACCACTTCCCTTTGCCTTTTTTTCTCTTGTTGATTGCTTCTACAAAGCCATATCACTCTTCGACTTGTTTGCAGCTCTTTCATCCATTCTTTGTTCATGAGATTCAAGCATCATTTGAAGCTCTTCCTTATAGATTTTGACAAATCTTTCGACTCTTCTTGGCTACTACCATATGGTCAAATTTTGGAGCCAATGACCTCAAGATCTTTGCAACAATTGATTTTGATGTCAACACTTCTCCACATACCTTGATTTGATTAACCAGTTTTGTAACCTTAGTGAAAAAAATCTGTTATGCTTTCACTTTCTTCCATCTCAAGAAATTCTTACGTTCTTTTGTGAGTTTGTAATCTCACCTCTTTCACCTTTTCAGCGTCTCCAAACGATTTCTCCAAGATTTTCCATGCTTCTTTCACCGATTCTACATCACTGACCTTTAAAATTGTCTAGATCAAGACATTGATGAATTATAAAGAGAGCTTTATAATCTTTCTTCTTGAATTCTTTGTATGCATCTGTTTTTTGATCCGACACATTTTCTGCAAGTGGTGTTACTCCTTCTTTCACAAGATCCCAAGATCTTGACAACACAAAACAACCTTCATATGTTTACACCAATTCTCATAATTCTGACCCTTCAAAATTGGGAGACTCGCTGGAAAATATCAATTTGGATGATTCATATCCATTGCCATCGTGTTTTGCTTCCCACGAATCACTCAACCAGTGCTCTAGATACCAGATGTTGGAATTAAACTAAAAACTTTGAGTAATTCCGAATCAATTTTGATGAACAAGATTCAATCATACCATTCGAATTCCCTTTTGTTCTTCACTCTTCACTTGAGTGAATCAACCAATCTTGGTTGCAAGATTGTATCGCTACACAATGGTGATAAAAATAAGAAAAGAATATTGAATTAGGGAATAAAGAAAATTAGGGATTCAATGCAAAATAGGGGAAAAAGAATTTTTACAAAGCAACTCTATACTCTCAAAACTGAAATTCTATTCAAGTGAATCACACTTTACAGTATAATAAGGATACTCTTTATTTATAGATTTGACTTGCTCGTTCCCTAAGCAAAGCCCAAAATACCTAATTATGCTAACATTATAAAGTTAGGTTTAAGACAAAATTCATTTCGAAGCTAACTCCTCGACACTTCGACAACTAGGTATTTCGACACACACACTAGACTATTAGGCAATTTTCTTGTCCCTGTCGAGCAATCTGCTTTAACACAAAGAATTACAATTTAACAATTAATCATTTTTGTTTTATTACTAAAAACTATTTTTAATATCTGGACGTTTATTAACTAATTTTTTACATTTCATTAACCAACTTTGTTTTACTATAAAAGATCATTGTTCATGCATTATGCACGGGCGTAGTTCGCGAGTAATGTTCATGTCACTATTGATACACTGTTCATGCACATATTCATTGTTCACCGTATTTATGAATAATACATATGATATAGGTGTAAGTGTGAGCGTTGGAATAAGCATCGGTGTTTCATCAATTCAAACAAACACTAGAGTGTATTTTTGTGTGTTTTATGAGTTCAAAAATGGAAGGAAAAAAAAAGTAAATTAGTAACCTCCAAGCATCCATTTGATTGCACAAAACAACACAACCAGCAACAAACAATGCAAATGAGTACTCCAATACAATAATAAATACTACCAACAGCAACAAAAACAAAACAAATGGAACAAAGTAACACATTTAATGACAGTATCGAACTAACATAACGAATGAGCGGGAACAACGCGCCTTTTGTTTGAAACAAAGTTACTATCCTACGCGCACCTTCAACTAGAGTTAAAGAACCACCACTACACTTTTTCTGTGTCTGTTTTCAGACCCAAATCCACAAATGGTCCTACCTAGCTTCCCTAATCTATCTCTCAATCATATCCTCAATCCTTCCCTCCCATGCATTTGCTGTTTTTCTGACATTCCTTCAATTGTTTCCTTCTTCTTCACTCCACTTTTTTTCTTTCTTTTAGAAGATTCAATATGCTTTTTTTTTCCTCTTATCTTTACTCTCCAATTCACCGTGGCGTGAAATTGGGGAGAGTGACTCACAGTTTTGAGTGTAAAGAAATTGACACGTTATGACTCTGATCCCTTTCACTTCACATAAACGTTCAAATCCAGGTAGATATCATTGGATTTGGAAGTGAATTCTAAGCAAATTTTCAACCTACTTTTTTTTTTTTTATGAACACTGAACTATAAGTATCGTTTTTTTATATATTGTTTTTTTTATCAGCCCCATATGGTCAAGTTCTGAACTTTTGCTGCGTTGTTCTTTTTTGAGGTTATGTTTTTTTAGTGGTGCTGGTGTTGTTTTGACTGAAATATAGATGGAACGAAGGAGTTGGATATGGCACAGTAAAAGTTCTGGTGAAACTGAGAGTTCTGAGTCAATGTTATCTCATTCTGAAAGATTTTCTGATGACCAGGTACCGCTTTTTTTTGGCTATCATCATACGTTTTTAACTGTTTTGTACTATATTTCATCATATTTGTCTTTATCCTAGGTAGTTGCTGTGTGTGTTTGGGGTTATGTGAGTTCTGTTATGTCCTCTTTTGAAGTCTGAGATCTCTGATTGTTCAAATCATTGTAAGTTTGGAGTAGAAATATATGAATATGATTTATTCGCTATGCTGTATAGGTATATGCTAGTCGAACTGCTCCGTCTTCGGAAGTCACATCCAAGGCTGCGTTAGACAAAGATGTTGTTACTGATGTGCTTACTCTAACAGAAAAATTGTCTGCTGCTCTATTAGATGTTAGCTCCAAAGAAGATTTGATAAAGCAAAATGCCAAAGTTGCTGAAGAAGCTGTCTCAGGTATATGTTGTTTCCCATCTTGAATTTCTCCTTGATTTGGCAGGTTTATCCAGTAAGAAAGCCGTTGAGGCATTGCAATTGACTTTGTTGTTTTTTGGTATGATTGTTGTATTTGTTCAAGTCTCCGTTATGGTTTTCAAAAAATGAGTACCTAAAATTATCTAAACATCGCTTATTTAGGCTGGGAGAAGGCGGAAAATGAAGTATTGACTTTAAAACAAGAACTTGACGCTGCAAAAGAAAAGAATGTTGTTCTTGAAGACCGAGTTAGTCATCTTAACAGGGAACTAAAGGATTGTATGAGGCAGCTCCGACAAGCTCGAGAAGAGCAAGATCAAAAGATCCATGAAGCTGTTGCAAATAACTCTTGTTATCAGGAATCCAAAAGACCTGATCTTGAGTGGAAAGTTGCCGAGCTTGAGGCTCAACTTCAAACAGCTAAAGAAAATGCTGCTGCATCAGTTCATTCTGGTCTTCTACAGAGGCTTGAGGATGTGGAGAGGGAGAATTCATGTCTTAAAATTGAACTACAATCTCGACTCGAGGAACTAGAATTCAGAACTATTGAAAGGGATTTGAGTACTCAATCTGCCAAAGCAGCAAGCAAGCAACATTTGGAGAGTTTAAAGAAGGTGGCTGAGCTTGACAGAGAATGGCGGAGACTGAATGCCATGGCACAAAATCATATAGGCCTTTCAACTCAGAATGATCTGATGGACGATTTCCTTGAAATGGAAAGGCTTGCGGCATTGCCCGATACAGAAAGTGTAAGCAGCTTCTCTGTGGTAGGTACTGGAACAGACAAAATGAATGCTGAAGTGGAAGCATTGGTTCAAAAGAATTCTACATTGGAAAAGAAACTGGTGGAAATGGAGGCAGATAAACTTGAGCTAGAGATGGATTTAAAGGAGTGCCAAAAACAGCTCGAGATATCACAAAGTCGGGTAAAAGAAACAGAATTGGAGGTAATAGAGCTTCAAACTCAGTTAGATCTTGTAAATAAATCAAATGAAGAAGCATATGATGAACTAAAAGCAGCCCGAGAAAAAAATGAAAAAGCTGAATCAAAACTTAGAGCATCCCAAACCGAGGCAGAAGAATTGATCTCAAAAATATGTTTGCTGGAGGAAGAGATTGAGAAAGAACAGGCTTTGTCTGCTGAGAATTCGGCCAAGTGTGAAAAGTTGGAAGATGAGCTTTCGAGAATGAAGCAAGAAGCTCAACTCCAGCCAGACACTGAAATTCTGCATAGGAAAGGTGTTGATAGCAAGTTAATGTTCAATCAGGTAAAACTTTGAAACTCACAATGCCTACAATCTCGCTCTCGTAGTTTTGATTTTCATGATGCACAGAGCTAAGCTTTAGTTTAAATTTTAACATCCGAGACTCCAGAATTTAATGTATAAATAGCTAAATTTTGCATTAAGCATTTTATACTTGGTCTTGATCTTGTCATCATTTGATGTAGGAGAAGGAATTAGAATTGGCTGCTAATAGATTTTCCGAGTGCCGGAAAACCATCGAATCTCTAGGACAGCAGTTGAAATCCCTTGCAAAATTCGAAGACTTCCTACTTGATTCAGAGGACACTATGGAGTTAACTAGTGAAGTAACACCACCAGGTCCCAAAAATAACAGTGACAATAGTGATTTGAGTTCGCCAAAAATAGATTCTGAATTGTCAGATTTGCTAAATCCATCTATTAGCTTTGGAAAAAGCCACTTTAGTTTTGGTATGTTCTATCCTACAAGTGCTTGAGCAGAACATGAAGTCATTGAGAAAAGAAGTAAGAGAAAAAATAAAGTGAACTGTAAATATACTTTATAAGCATTCAAAGTGTATAAATCCAAACTTAGATGTACATAAATATCTACATAGAACTGCTTAATAAATTAAAAGCGTCATCTTTTTTCCAGGAAGGAGTATGAATTATGCATCATATTGCTGTATATTCTAGGGGAAAGAGTAAAAAAGGCACGCATTCATTAGTAATATTGAGCACTAGAATCTAATTTTAACACTGATAGAATTGAATAAGAAGGGCGAAAAACCGAAATTGCCATCAAAGGCATGGAGTCTTATACTAATAATAATGGATGAAATCCAATCCACCAAAGGGAAAGAAGAAAAGAAAAAGGACCCTACTAGATTAAACATACTACAGCGAAGGCTTTCCTTTAGCTGGAAGCAATATGCTACTGCTACTCTTCTTCCTTATTATCTTAGCATATCATAGTAATACTCCGGCTTTCTGTAATCCGACATGCAGATGGCCTGATATCACAAAAGTACCGAATCTTGTAATATACAAGCATAGAAGACTTATAAAGTATGCAACCCAAACAACTTTATCTAGATAAACTTTCAATCTGTTTCTGTTATGACTTTCATCTGTTTCTACAATGAAAGAAATGTTTACCTGCATTGCGAATGCCAAGTGGATTAGTGTTGCTTCAGACCAAGGCCTTCCGATAAACTGAAGGCCAATTGGCAAACCCAATTTATCATATCCAACCTGTGATATATGAAATATGAAGCACACAAATAGATATATAGCATATAAACAACATCTAAATTCTTGTATAACGAACACTACCGGAACAGTGACAGCAGGAAGTCCTAGGAAGTTTCCTGCTATGGAGTAACGAACAAGTGCAGCTGAAATAATGGAAAACAGTTCAAAATGAAATGATACTACCGATTAATAACTAAAAAATAACAAATAAAGTTCAACAACCATATAAGTTTCATGTATACCTCCATTGACATAGTCAAGTTCACCGGTCTTCAAGGCGTCATCTTGAATCGGATATGCTGTCACGCTGTTATAAATATATCATAAACATGCAAATGCATAATTAAGAAAAAAAATTCTATTGTTAAAAACTTGAAGTAAAGCATTATGTGAAATTTGATGGATCAGGACGAACCCTGTTGTTGGTGAGACAATGACGTCTGCTTCGGCAAATATTTTCTTGTGAAACTGAAGTTGGCGATTCCTGTTCACATTTAAAAAACATGTACCTTAAAAACAAAAACACAACTCACGTTCTTGTTTAAATGATTCGCAAACACAGAATCGCGGGCATTGAAACTGACACGCCTTGTTTCACTCACCTAATTCTTTGAGCTTTAACATACTCGATACCACTGAAAGCACCATAGATGCTTTGTGCTACCCTTACATCCCATCCTAATTCTGGAAAATTCCTATGGTAGTAATTAACCGATGTCAGAAGCTTTACCCTTTCAATCTAGAGAGTAATAAGGAGTAAAGCAAAGAGTTTATAAAGATTACATACTTTGCTTTATAAGAATCAAGCGCTGTGGAACACTCCGATCCAATTGTTATATAATGAGCCAAGCGCATCATTTCTATATCTGGTATGGTGACATCTATAATCTTGTATGTTTGAAGAAAAAGAATACCAAGTTAGCAAGTAATAGCTCTTCTGTTTCTCAATTTTGGATTCGGTAATTGTTTTAGAAGTGATTCGGTAATTGTTATAACAGATTTTTTATATTGTTCAGTACCTTCCAGTTGTAATGATCTTGAAGCTTTAGCAAAGCTAGGGAGCAGCATACTCTGACATCATTACTGCAATCATCAAACCACTAATTGATGGAAGTGGTGGTTAAACAACATAAATGATGTTAGAAAAACCTACTTTTATAATCCCCGAAAATGATAATGCGTGTTTTTATCTGAAAATTAAGTGTCTAACCTTTCCGTATTTCGCCAACCTGATGGAAGATATGGACTTCGTCAAGCTTAGTCTTGGAAGATTTATCTTGGTCTGAAGCATTACAAAAAGGTTTTAGAAGTTCAAAGAGACTATAAAAAGTGTATATCTAATCAGAATCGTGATAAACGATCAAAATCTTTACCAATACGCTGGAGGGTGGATGTGATGGAATTTCGCCACTGAGAGCTGCATAACTATAAACAGAAAAACAACAGATGCTGTAAAACCAATCTATCAGTTCATTGAAGATAAAGTGTCACAGGAATCACTACTAACACTATCAGCGCATCCTCAACCGTGCTTGCTAATATTCCAACCATTCCAACTGTCCAGTTTATAGGAAGAACTCTGGATATAGCAGAAGGACGTTCTTGTAAATCATAGTTACAAATTTTCTAGTATTTAAACATGATGCAACAAATGAATACCTACCCGTCATGTGGTATACGCGTGAAAGTTGGTTTCAGACCAACAACACCACAAAGAGCAGCAGGCATCCTTACAGATCCTGAACAGGTGCAAACATCATAGTGATTCAACAAATGAAAGACCAGATAAATCACCATTCGTTCTAATTATGACTATAATCAAGAGGTTTGGATCAAATACCTCCTCCATCAACACCAAGAGCAACAGGGCACAGTCCCGCTGACACCAAAGAAGCAGATCCACCAGAAGAACCTCCTGCAATCTTTTTGCAATCATATGGATTTCTAGTAGGCCTATAAAGTAAATAAAAAGACGCGTCTGAGTAAGTCCACTATTCTTTAGTTCAAATCCACAAATATATGTAGCATAATACGAAAGAGTGTAACACATGGTGATGGACTGATGGTGGTGCTATTCTTACCCGTAGTGTGGGTTTATCCCACTAGCTCCAGAGCCAAGTTCATGCATATTGGATTTCCCAACAAGTATGGCACCACATTGCCTCAAACGCTTAACACAGCATGCATCATCTTTACAAGGCCTTTCCTTATGCAACCACTTTGTACCACCTTGAACAAACCATTTTAAGATGCTTTAGTGAATTATGAAATCAGCAGCTTAATCATTAGAATAGATGATCCTGAGAAAAACAATAAAAGAGTACACTGCCTTGCCTGTTGTTGGATACGGTAAACAATCTATCTCGTCCTTTATTGCAACAGGTACTCCGTCTAGCACCGAGATTGGTTCCCCTGCAAAAATAGTATTGCATCGGATTAGTATCTGAACATGGTTGAGTACAGATAACATGGAAGCAGATACGAGTAGTAAACATAAGGATCCGGATTCTCTGTTGTAAGAGAAGCACACGTTCACATGTAGTAAACCGTCTTGCAACTTGAGATGTTACGAAGTACCTCTTTGATACCGAAGAGTTGATTCAGTTGCTTGTCTTAGTATATCATCGACATTGTAGTCAATAAAGAATCCCATTTGAAGTGGTGGTTTTACGGATTCATCAATAGCAGCAACAAATCTTTCAGCAACCTGTGTAATTGAAATAAAAAATTTCATCAGAACTAGGCACCAAATCAACCACAAGAAAATGAAGGACTTGTGGATTTACTCTCTTCCCAACACCTCTTTCACAGACCACAAGAATCTCTACACCAAAACTTTATGCATGCATGCAAAGTTTTCATGAGTCAACCATGTAAAAGGATCAACAAAAAACGAAATACCAATAGCGGTGTTATATCGCCTGATCTGTAAGCTTTGGAATAATCCATTATCGTCCAGCGACAGAATGAAGGTTTTCTTTCTAGAGATATAGGCAAACAATCTATTGCATGTTGAACTTTCTCAGGCGGAGATAAAGAAGAATCTATGCATTTCACTTCTTTTTCTTCAATGTCTGCAATTATAAACTCAAATCAGTCATCTACTTTTTCTACAATCAAATAATTCCGCACTAGGCCAAAATTCCACAATCAAATAATTCTTATTCTCATGACCGTAAATTAATCTCTCAAACCTTCAAATTGATGTAATGGAACATACAGAGGTGACTCTTCAAATTCTGCATTTGTAATAAGCTGCATAAACAAAAAAAAAAAAACTTGTTATATTATATGCTCTATAATGTTAAATATTCATGAACCAGTTACATATATATATACATTAATTACCTCATGAATAAGATTATTTCCTTTCAAAATGTACAATATCATGGTTCCAAGTAATGGAAATTCCAATAAATAAGTAAAAATCTTGACTAAAAGTCCAGTCATACGAGGGGCTGCATGCAATTGAGAAAATCATCAGCATTTTGTTGACATGCATGACCATCAACGAGGACATCAAAAGACACTAAACTACAACAGAATAAGAAGACAAAAAAAGGTATATAAATGAATGAGAATGAATATGAACCTTTGACATTTGCTTGAAGGTAGAATTCAGTGCTGTAAGGGCTCAAGTCAACATCATTTGCTGGAGGGTAAACAACAGACTTACGTTTGAACAAAGTCATTATGTTGTTGGTATTTGGAAAGTAAGACAGAAAAAGAAGAAGAGAACAAGATTTGGCGGAGAATGCAAGAGTAACTAGAAATGAAGTGAAGAGAGAGGAATTTATAGTGAGAGTAAAAACATGGCGCAAGTATCGTGTGTAGAGTAGAAAATTGGTAAGATAGAATTAATAGCGGTTATTTAAAACATCATGCTTCTGACATTTTGAAACGGTGTTATGATTATTACAATTCACACGAGTCAGAAGCTGACTTGTGATGATAGAGGCAGGAGTTAGGTAATGCACTAATGCTGCTGCGCTAACAGGTTACAAATAGTCAAATATATAAAACGTAAATTAAGGAGTAGTACGTTGTTGTTTCTCTTGCGTAGTGTAATGCATACATCTTCATAAATTTATCAAATACTATGGGATACTCTCTCCTTAATAAAATAGCACTACAAGACAATTTTATATCGTAAATTATTTGAAATGTGTGGTGAAATAGTAAAATAATGTTTTAGTAGAGGGCAACAAGCTTCCGGTACGGTGGAGAGGTAAGTAAGATTAGC